ACATGAGATCTTTCTATTACTTTTGAACTCTAAACTATATGCTTTGAAGCTTTTGATATTTGTGATTTGTGTAGAATATTGGTTGGATAGATGCATTTTACTGTGTGAGGCGGTGATTTTAGGGTTTAGGAATGCGGCTAGGGTTTCTTATCAGAAATATAAGGTTGGGGTTTTGTTTGAAATATTGATGCAGGTGAAGTTTCATATTGACCTTCATGAATTGAAGTTGAGCATTTGTTCAATAGAACTGGGTAGCCTAGGTTCCTAGCGATCCTTTGTGCAGGGAGCCCTTACCCAAATGTTGTGGCCTTGGCCCCAACCCTAGTCATGTTTAACATTTTTGACTAATAACTACAGATAGAAATTCTTCATTAACATGTAATATTGCTCTGTATTCTGAGATAGGGTTAGGAGAAAACATAGTTTAGAACACTTGGGTGGACCTACTCGTGTCGTGAATTGGTAGACTCTTCCAAAAAATTGGACTAACAATAACTTGCTTGAGGGGAATTGAATCCTCTAATTGGAGTTGGAGGTTCCAAAGATTGTTTTTCTTGTCTTTTTATTTATTTATTTTTTGATATTCATGGTTTAAGATGTTCCATCACATGTGTTGAGGTTTTTAATTACATAGATAGACTGTTATATGGGGTTAATTTTTAATGGCATGGTGCTTGGGCGTTGGAAGATTCTTAGGTTCATTTAATTATCAAAAAAGTATTTCTAGATCCGAAAGTGAGGTGGATTTGAGATGAATTTGAAATAGTGAGAATAGATCTATATTACAAATTATAAGCCATAAAAAAAGAGTAGGATTCCCAAAAGGAGGGATCACAAGTCCAGGGGTGTAAGATTTATGTTTTCCAAAGTCAAAACAAAGCTCTAGAAAGCAATTAATTTCATCTTTTTGGGTGAATATGAGTGTCGGATTTTCGTTTTTCATTATTCTTTTTTAAGTATGTTTTTTTTTTTCAGGTCCCAAACTGAATAGTCAATCTTGGTTCTAGCTAAGAGAGAGCTTCATAACCATGATTTCTTTCAAAGTTAAGTTGTAAAGGGGTTTGATGAAAGTTGGACCAGGTGATCTAGCATAGTGTATATAATGAAAGTTGGACTAGGTGATCTAGCACTGTGTATATACTATTTAATTTTTCTTTTTCACACATACTTGGACACTTACAATGGTCCAATTACAGTAAATTTTAACTCATAACAAATAAATAAATGACAATTATAGCAATATATCTATATTTTGGCAAAATTGGAAAAAAAAACTCAAACTTTCAAAAACCTTGTCTACAATCTTTCTCACTATTTTTGGGTTTTTTTGGACGAAAATGCCCTTCACGGTAGTCTTTCTACCGTAATATATATTGCAAGTTTTACGGTAATTAAAATACCGTAAATATTTTAAGTAATATTACGGTACTTATGACTGTGAAGCCAATTACTTAAAGTACTGTAAAAATTGAAAGCCATTATACAACATTTTAAGTACTTTAAAAACGAATAAGCCGTTATATGTCATTTTAAGTACTGTAAAAACTAACCCATGTTATACGGCACTTAGAATGCCGTAAACTCTTTTCTCCTTGTGTTTATATTTATCTCTTTCATCTCTAACTTTTTTGGGATTTTCCAAATTATACCGCTAAAAGCCAAATTTCAAATTTCAATATATGCCAAGTTTCCTTAGATAGATCATGTCCTCTGTTTTGCATAGCCGAAGTCAGTGTTTGATTACTCAGATGAGCCAATTGGGACACGGCGATATATCCCAGTTAGGGAGAGAAAAGATTTAGAGAGAGAAAGAAGAGAAATATTAAAAAGAATTAGAGAGAGAAAGAAGAGATAAAAATAGAGATGAAAGAGATAAATATAAACAGAACGAGAAAAGAAAGAGTTTACGGCATTTTAAATGCCGTATAACATAATATGGGTTAGTTTTTATGGTACTTAAAACCCCGTATAATGGGTTTTAGTTTTTATGGTAAGTAAAGTACTGTAATTGGCTTCACGGTCATGGCCAGAGTTTTACGACATTTAAAGTACTGTAATATTACTTAAAAGTTTTACGGTATTTTAATTATCGTAAAACTTGCCATATATATTATAGTAAAAGACTACTATGAAGGGTATTTTTGTCCAAAAAAGCCCGAAAATAGTGAGAAAGGGCGTAGGCGAGGTTTTTGAAAGTTTGAGGTTTTTTTTCCAATTTTGCGAGAATATAGGTATATTTGTGATAATTTCCCTAAATAAATAAACAAAAGTGGTTCTCACTTGTTGCCACTAATTACAATTTCCTTTTATTCAATGAATAAAACCACCACAATGCTTTTGGGGATAAGAAAGCATAAGAAATAAAATACTGCAAACCATAAAGCAAGATGCTGGAAGATTACCTCAACCGGACTTAGTACATCCCATACTAGGACTCTTTCCCCCAATGACATAAGAAATGAAATACTGCAAAACATAAGCAAGATGTTGGAATATTACATCAATTGGACTTAGTACATCCCACATAGAGACTCCTTCCTCCAATGATGCATGTCATCAATTGAAATTTCTCGGATCTTCGAAATATGGGAAAGCATTGACTAAACCCCTTTACAATGCCTTAGAATTGCAGAGTGGGGCGTGTCCATTTTTCTTGTTCTCTTATGGGGCTGTATCCCTATATCTCTTTTAGTGAGATGAGAACATGGAGAGGGGGAGAGAGAACTTTCAAAAGGTGGCGAGCCACCCTTATAGGAATATCAGAGAGAGAATTTTGGTGTAGAGAATGAGAGGTGGGAAGACCCCTTTTTATAGACTTTTTCAGGGGATAGGGTTTCCTTGGGAGTAGCCACTTTTAAATTGATCCATTGCAATTGATCTTAGGAGTCTTATGGGTTGAGAGATCTGAGGATTTTATTCCTAATATCAGCCGTGATTCAAAAGATGATGCAAAATCTTATCATTTGGTTTCTTAAACCTTTATCCCATCAAATATAAGATAAGTAGAATACGAGATACAATGTATTTGGTAAAAAACGTTTTTTTTGTTTATATCTCTTTTAGAGTTCTTAATCTCTTAGGACTCATAGAGCATATCTTGTTTTCATATTGAATTGCTCAAACAAGATATCAATATCATAAAACATATCTAGTTTTAATTTGACTTGGTCAACATGTCCTCATTATTAAACCATATTGGGTTGCCCAAAATAGAGGGCATGCCATCTTTGGCCTCCCATAAAAAAATGGTGTGCCCAAGTTGGTTCCACAAAAGGTGGTGTGCCAACTTGGGGGCTCTTAGGTGGGCCCCACGCGACCCCTTAAAAAAAGTAAGTAGATTTTTTAAAAATTGTTTTGGGGTTTTTAGAATATGTGAAATAAGCTTTATTTTTCGATGAATTTATAAAATTAAGAAATATTTAATTTTCAATATATAAATAGTCATAGAATAAAAAAAGCTCACATATTCTAAATATCCAAAGCCAATTTAATAAAATCAACTTATTTTTTTTCGGGGGGTCACGTGGGGCCCACCCACCTAAGATCCCTAAAGTTGGCACACGACTTTTTGTGGAGCCAACTTGAGCACGCCATTTTTTTTTATTGGAGGCCAAAGATGGTACGTCCCATATTCTGGCCAACTCTTATTTTGTGGAGATTTTATATCTTGTTTAAATATGGTTTAATAATGAGGACTTGTTGATCAAGTGAAATTAAAACTGGATATGTTTTAATATATTGAGATTTTGTTTGAGCAATTCAAATTGAAAACAATATGCTCTATGAGTCCTAAGAGTTAGCAAGTCTAAAAGAGATATAACTAAGAAAAAAGTTTTTGATTAGATACATTGTATCTCGTATTCTACTTATCTTCTATTTTGATGGGATAAAGGTTTAGGAAACTGAAGGATAAGGTTTTGCAACATCTTTTGAATCATTATGGCTGATCTTAGGAATGAAAGAGTCATATATCTCACCTCATAGGAATCCTAAGGCCAATTGGACTGGACCACTTTAAAAGTGACAATTCCCAAGGAACCCTATTCCTTGAAAAAATCTATAAAATGGGGCTTCCCCACCTCTCATTCTCTACACTAGAATTCTCTCTTTGTGATATTCCTATAAGGGTGGCACACCACCCTATGGAAGTGCACTATCCCCCAGTCCATGTTCTCATCTCTCTAAAAGAGAGATAGGGGTACGACCCCATAAGAGAACAAGAAAAGTGGGCACGTCGGCTCTGCAGTTCTAAGGCATTGAGGCTTTGAAGAAGATAGTCGTTTTGCTCTCATACTTTGTGAAGGGGTTTAGCCTGTGTTTTCCCATAAGATCTGAGAAAGTTCGATTGATCTCATGCTCCATTGGAGGAAGGTGTCCT